CCTGATTGGCCTAATATGAAGAGAGAAGAGGAAATGCTTTACTGAATTGATAGCCATCACTCATGATTAAGCAGAGGTAGGCTAGAGTCTACATGCCCAATAACTGTTATGACTGGAAAATTGTGAACAATTCTTTTTAAAAAAGAGGAGTCTGAGTTCTTAGATGTAGTCAAGAGTATTGGCACATAAAGCAAAAGGAGAACTATTTCTTGCCAAATTAATGCATACATAATTAATTATGAACAAATTAATACATATGTTATTCTATAATAATGTCTTTTTTCCCACCATTGTCCTACATCTAAGAGAAACCACATACCCTCCGTGATCTTTTAAGCATGCTTTGTTTGCCTGTTTCGTTTGGTAAGCAATTAGACTCAAGATATGTTCCAGTATTTCTTTCTTTTCTAAGGGCTGGAGTGAGATCTTCCCAAAACACTTCTAGAAACATAAATTCTCCACGTTTGGTCTTTCTTGAAATAATCAGGCAGTTGGACTATTAAAAACATGAACCAAATACACTAGCTATGACAAGAGCTCTATTTCTTCTAATCTTTGCTCTTTATTTGCTCTTTGTGTCCCCCTTGCTAGTATGTGTTGATGAACACCTTCCAATCCTTTTAAAACATAATGTTTTTACCCTTTTATTTCTATGCACAAGTGACTTGGCATTTTTCCCATACACCCAGTCCACAATCCTCATCAGTCCTACAGGAAAGGTTTTGTGAGACTTTGGGCTTAATTCCTACTTACTCCATCAAGCCAGTGCAACAGCCAAATTGAAATTATTTTTAAAATTTCCCTTGTCTTAATACTTGTGAAGGTTGGCTAATAGACTCAATTCCTGCTACTGACTGTCTCTTCCTCTCTTTAAAGTCAATTTCTCATCATCTTTCAAGCCACAGCTAAGAAGAAAGATTTCCTTCTCTGTTATTAGGTAACATTTATTTCTGTGCCATCCCCTTACATGTCATCTCTACTAGCTTCTGCCTCAAAGCAAAGAAGCTAAAGAACAAAGACTGACTTACTTTTGCTCCCCCTCTGCCCCCCACCCAAGCAGGCTGTCTCAATGTTTGAGTTTAAGTTTCACTGCTGGATTCTACTAATAATGTACTGTGTGACCTTGAGCAGATCACTTAAACTGCTGGAGTCTGTTCAGAAATTAAAAATACATTCTAATTTAATAGTCTCATTGAGATAACTTAAATTACACATTCCTTGGACCACACAAGAAGACTTGAAAGCAAAATAAAGATTTCTCCCTAACCTCTACCAAACCTCTTCCCAGTGATAAATTCCTGCAGTTTTTTTTTTCTGATTTATTTGGATAAATATAAGGTAGGATGACTGTACTCACCATTGCTATGTCAAATATGAATGATAATATCTATTCAATTTTGGATTAGTGTGACATTATCATTATTATATTGTTATTATTATTTGCTCTTAGGATCATTCATTCAATTATTTATTCATGATTAGTTATCATTTACTTGTTATGAGGTATTTTTCTAAGTGATGGGCTCTCATGGACTTTTTCCACAAAAAGAGGAGATGTAATTAAGAAAAGTTTTTTCTTTTCCTGTTTGGTATGTTCTATATAATCTTTTTCATCTTGTTGGTTTTAGAGCTAATATGCTATGGTGACACTCAAATACGGTTATTACTTTCCAACATTAAGAGAAAATACATATTTTTCAATTGTTTGACTAATACAGAAGAGTGAGTGTAAAGTACTTCCACTCAAGCCCTCTAAAGATAATACACTGGAAACATTCTGGTGGGTGTGAATCACTCAGACAAGCATTCTTACTCAAAAATAGAAACTTTCCTTATTTGTTCCAGATGTTATACAGCTGCAGGGAAGTTAAAGCCAGTGGTCCTGTTTTCAATGCAACCAAACTCTTATTGCATTTGGAATTTCTTAACCAATGAACTCATATTACTAAGACCTGCATGGTGTTCTTTTTTCCACTGTTACCATTCACAAACAACTGTGTTTCATGGGAACTACAGTTCAGAATTAATGAGCCTACATCTGCATTGCACAAAGAAAACACATCCTGTTTACCACTGATTCTACCTTTCATTTATCTGACCCCTTTAATTCCAAGCTTAAAATATTCAAAGAGGGTAACTTGAAGGAAAAGAAGGGTGGCACTGTTCACATAATAATTTACAGAACCTTAAATGGTGGGGTTCTAAGATGGTCATCTTGGAAGAATTTGAAGAAAATTACTAAGAAGAATGTTGAGTATAATTCCTAACATTTACCATTATTAAGATACACATTGATCTTATTTCTTAATTTCTCATTTACTTATTATCCTGTATGTCATTAAGAATTATTATGTTGGATGTATAAAATATAGAAATGTAAAACACCAGGCATTTTAGAAGGTAAAGGATTATGTCAGAGGTGTACATGCTAATTTTCTTTTTCTTTCTTTCCTTTCTTTCTCTCTTTCTTTTTTCTTTCTCTTCTCTCTCCCCTTCCCTTCCCTTCCCACTTCTTCCTCTCCCCTCCCTCCCTCCTTTCCCTCCTGTGTTTTCTTTTTCTTTTGCGGTTCTGGGAATTGAACTCAGGGTCTTGTGCTTGTAAACAGATAATCTATTACTAGCCATTACCCTAGCCCATACATTCTGATTTTACATCTATCTTGTCCATAAAAGCCAAAAATCAATGTGTTTTTTCTACTTATATTTCAGAATAGAATGTCTGATTTCTTGATGTCTCTATTGTCTCTTTATGTAGAAGGTGTTCTTAAGTTGTGGTTCATTGATAACCTGTATACTCACAATGGCAACGTATTAAAGAATGTACTTTTGGGGTTTAGCTGAGGAAGAATTGAGCCTGGTGTATTAGAAGGAAGGACTTTAATCAGAGTAAAGCAATTAAACAATGAGGAACAAATTCTTAGGCTCCAGTTCTGAATATTAAAACCCAGGAAACTTAAAATGAATTTGTCAAGGCAATATAGTCAAGTAAAGGCCTTGAAGTTTCTTTGCTGATGAGGTCAGAAATTTCTTTTCAGCTCTGTTGTTTACTTTAACTTCAAAAGGGTAAAGATTAAAATAAAATAGGAAAACATAATATGAATATGATTTTTAAGTACTTAAATATCATCATGTGTCTTAGTGAAGGAGTCTTTTATCATTCATGAACTGGATCATTGCTCTTTTTCCAAGATTTGGAAATACTTCTTTTAAATGCATTTTTTTCCTTCCATAAAATAGGAAGACATGTGTTATATGTCACATACTATTTACAAAGTATTTAAAATCGTATAGTTGATTATCAGAACCGAGAGCCTTAAAGTTATTTCAGCCATGTTCAAGTAATAGGTTGTATTCAATAATGATTCCCCAAAGTCCGTAACAACTCTAACTCATGACATACATTCAAGAAGTATGCCATTAGTAGAGCCCTAAAGTAAGTTAAATACCTAAAGTATGATGTGATTCAAAGCTGATTCAAAGATTTGTTTCACACATTTTAAAGAAGCAATGAATAATTTTAGGCCTTTTTTACTTGTACAGCTTAGCTTATTCAAGAAAAGACTGAATACTGTTTATTAAGCTTTCTGTATCTGCATAAATAGATGCCATTTTGACAGTTTAGATCAATAAAAAGACACTACTACAGAGAAGGTATGTTAATAATCTCTTTTTATTACTCATAGTTTCATAATGAATATGGGTCTGTAGATTTTCTGATCTAGAACTTCATTTAAGTACTGAGAAACCTGAGACCCAAAACCAGTAGTGCAGTCTTGAAGTAGTATCAGAAGTGGCTAGTTATTTGTCCAAATCTCTCTTCTTCCTATCCCTAACCCCTGTTTTATCTGGGCTCATGGCCTCCCTAAAAAAGATTATATTTCCCAGCCTTTCATATAACTAGAGCCAATTATATGACTATGGGTGGTGAGGAACCATTTGTGTGGAAGTGTATAAGAAGCCTCTTTAAATAGCAGTGATTGCATATCTATGCAAACTCTCACCCAGCTCTAAGTGTGCTGTGTGAAACATGAGTGTTGTTGACTATTTTGGTATGTGATGATAGAGGCTGGCATTTTAGCATTGAACTTCCACTGTGTAGAATTATGTGAGAGAGAAGCTTTGATCACTCTCTTGGGATTGCCAAGAGAAATATTTCCAGTTGAATCTGATTGTGGACACTAATCTACTCTTTCATTTTTACTTTTTTTTATTTGTACTGAGACTTGAACTCAGGGTCCTTGCACTTGCTTGCTGGCTGAGACTCATCACTTGAGCCATGCCTTTAGCCTAGCTTTGTGTTGGTTAATTGGAGAGGGAATCTTGTGGTCTTTTCTGTCCATGCTGGCTTCAAATCAAGATCAGCCAGATTTCAGCCTCTTGCATAGCTAAGATCACAGGTGTGATCTTAGATTCACTAGAACCTGGTGAATCTACTTATTGCTATGGAATTGAATCCCTGTGTTCTTTGGGCACATAGTTACTGAGCACTTTGTATGTGTCATGCATATGGATTTAAAATACCCAAGATGGGTCTTTTAAATTAGCACTTAGAAGATACATTGACACATACCATTTTACTGTTCTCAGTATTGGTCAAATATGGATGGGGATTAAAATTCTGGGTACAAATGTGAGAGCCCATCTCCTCTACCAGCCCCCCAACTCCCTGCCCACTGAGAGTAAAATATGACTGGAGTCAGGTAGGATTGTGGGTACTGGCCAGTGGGTACTGGTTCTGAAACCTAATTCTGTTCAAAGTTTTATAGAAGTATTCCTACTTACCAAGTCTACTTAAATTCCTTCTAAACTCTTTCTTATTAATGTCATATTTTATTAAGCTTTGGAGTTTATTTTTTAAGACAGTTCTTGTTCTGAATTTCAAAACAGGTTTTTATTTCTAAGCAAAACAACTTAGAGCTACCAAGTAATGAATGGATTTTGGAATAATGGTTGGAATATAATAACATGTGAAGGGATAGATAATTATAAAACAAAATTACCTTTGGATCCACATTGAGAATTTTTCTGTCTCTTTTATATTTGAAAAGTAAGCCGTCAGGATTGTCAGAAATAACTTGATAATTGGAACTTGAATTGCAAACAACAACATGACTGTCCCAGTTGTAAAAGCTACAAAAAATTAATTAGAAGTTAAGATATATCATGCATTAAATTAACACAGCGTTTCAGAGAATATTTTGGGCAGTTTAGTCTCAAGAGAAGTGGTTAGGGACAGTACCTACAACCATGCAGAAAGAACAGAGCTGAGATTTAAATCCTTTCAGTACAACTTAGATTGAGTTATTCTCCAATAAGTAAATATATACTCATAATGATTTTTGCATGATTTTCCTGGTTTGGACATTATGGAGCCTAGAACTTATTCTGACATTATCTTCTCTTGGAGTCAAGAATACATTGATGCAATTTAAGGTTACATGTTCTACTGTAAACTCTTTAGATTATAAAGAGACTGTTTACAAGAGGAATGGCAGGTAAAGTTATCTCTTTTCATTCAAAGCAATTACAAATTAATTTCTTTCAAGTTCTCTGTTTCATTACCTAGGGAGTTGGAGAAACTATGTTTCAGTGATTATGTAAGGAAGAATGTTATATGTTCTAACAAAACACCTTATGAAGTTGTTATCATTTCATGCTCAAGATAAAATGACCAGGCAAGCTCAACTAGCAGGATGAAGGTCTTACAGCTAATGTCATGTGGATAATATTTCACCCCAAACCTGTGCGTTTGAAAGCATACATGTACTCTTTCAATTTTTTCAACATTCCCCTCTAACATTTTATCTTTTCAAATTAACTTATAAAGGTACACGTAAACACATGTGAGATTGCATGCAGTGCACACAAATATTAAATTTAATGGTGTAATTCCTTCAAAAAAATGAACACACAGTCTAACAAAATAAATACCAGAAAACTGGCACTTGGAAGGTGGGGAAGGGGCTTCAGGGAGGGGAATAGAGGAATGAAGAGAGAAAGTAAGGGAAGACATAGTCACAATATTCAGTGCACATCCTATGGAACTAAGAAAATGGAGGGGAGGGATGGTTTGGAGGGATGAGGGAGAATTATGAAAGGGATGACATCGATCCAGATGTCTCAAACTTACAAACTGATTGGTCGAACGGTAATTCCTTTGTACAGCTACTTGAAAACAATAAAAATGTTATTTAAAAAATAAAGTTTAGAACTAAAAAAGATTTCTCTTTTATATTAACTAGTAAATTTCCCTGGAAATGTATTATTTCCCACCTGTTATGCACACAGCAAAACTGAATATAATATTCTGGAAGTGGAAACATCCTTAATATATGTACTTTTACATACCTCATTCTTATTAAAACATTTTTAATACTAGCTTTGTTTTTAAAATTATGTGCAAAATAACATGTATAGCTTTGAGGCCCATCTACCTTTTTTTTTTAATTGTGAAAATACCGTACAGAGGGGTTACAATTACATGGGCAAGGTCATGAGTGCATTTCTTATCAAGCATTGTTGCCTCCTCCTTTGTTTCCCCATACCATCCCTTACCATCCCTTACCATCTCTCCTCCTCCTCACTCCTCCCCTCCCCTGCGCCAAAGTTGTAAAGTTCATTTTCCACATAATGTCTTGTACATCTCATTGTTGCAATGGGTCCACCTGTATCTCTATTTAAACAATTTGTTTTTTCCCTTCCCCTCCACAAATTATGCCAATATTTGTAGCATTTATTTAAATCTGTTTTCCTCTGTTCTATTTGTGGGTTGTTTAGTCCTCTCATACCCTTCCATCCAAATGAAGAAAGTTTCTATTGATTATATTCATTCTGAATTATACTGGACTTTTTTGAGACATTAATATTACTACTTTTATTTTGTTACCTAACTTTACGCTTGCCATCAAATTCTTCAGTATTCAGAAAGGACTGATTATATATGGGCTGTGTGTGTGTGTGTGTGCGTGTGTGTGTGTGTGTGTGTGTGCTGGTTCTGGGGCTTGAACTCAAGGCTTGGACACTGTCACGAGCTTCTTTTGCTCAAGGCTAGCTAGCGCTCTATTACTTGAGCCACAGCTCTACTTTCGGCTTTTAGAGTCTCACAGACTTTTCTGCTAGGCTGAGGTTTCGAAACCCGATCTTCAGATCTCAGCCTACTGAGTAGCTAGGATGACAGATGTGAGCCACCAGCATCCAGCTAATATAGGTTTTATATTTATGCCATCAGGATGGAGCTTCGTAGAGAGAACCACGTGTTTCCTTTTCCCACTACTATTTTTATTTTGCCAATCACGAGGCTTGAACTCTGGGCCTGGGCACTATCCATGAGTTCAAGGCTAGCACTTGAGACATAGCACCACTTCAGCTTTTTTGGTGATTAATTGAAGATAAGAGTCTCACAGTACTTACTTCCTGGGCTGCTCAGATTCCACTATTCTTTTTATGGCCAACACAGAGCATACCTGATGACAAATTCAATTCACTGGTCAAAGAAGAAGCAACTAATTTAACTCTGCTGCCTCCTAAGCTGAATCAAAGTTGGGTTTTCTAGTTCAGTTTATTCTATCAGAAAGAAGGCAATGTGTGGGGCTGGGAAGGTAGCTCAGTGGTAGAGCGCTTGCCTAGCATGCATGAGGCCCTAGGTTCGATTCCTCAGCACCTCATAAACAGAAAAAAAAAAGCTCGAAGTGGTGCTGTGGCTGAAGTGGTAAAGCGCTAGCCTTGAGCAAAAGGAGCTCATGGACAATGCCCAGGCCCACAGTTCAGGCCCACGACTGGACCCCTCCCCGCCCCCCCCAAAAAAGGCAATTGTATTCCTTTTTACTGACTCTTCAGCAGAAAGATTGCTAAATTGGCATGGGAGACATGGTCTTTTAAACTTGACATATATATTTTCTCTAATTATTTATGAGATCCACAGATACGGATAATTCCAGAAAAATGCTTGAGTCATAGCTATTCTTATAGTGGCATGGTTTATATCACACATTCCTATCTTGTTGCTCAGATGTCAGATTAAAAGTTTCAAGGAAATCCTTACAGATTTTATATATAATATATGCTCTTTATATAACATATACGTTTATATTTATATAACATATATGGCTAACGCATCACTTTTTTTTCTTACCAGGCAGACAATTTAAATTAATTGTGTTAATAAGAAATAACAAAAATGTCTATCATTTTATGTATAATTTGGGGCTGATTTAAAGTAAATAGAGTTCAAGAAAACAAATTAATTAAGATTGAGTTCAACGAAGATAGAGAAATTAGAGATGGTCCCAGATGTTTTGGTTCATAAATTATTAATTTTTAAAGCATTTAACTTGTATTTGTTATAGTCTGGTCAGGTCTTATAGCTATGTGTCCCTATGAAATAAAACATGGTTGAGCACAATGTTTCTTAATTTGAGATCCATAGAAAATTCCCGGGACTGTGAGTTCTCTCCCATCATTCAGCTCCATAAATACTTTGTGTGTTTCTATTTGTTTGTCTTGCAGCCAAGGTAGGATAATTTAAGCAGGCCTTCAATTAATTAAGAATGTAGTAAAACATAGTTTCTCAGAGTAAGTAATAGATTTGGAAGTATCCACAATGCTTAAGCTTAAAGGGGTGGCTAACATGGCCAAAAAATACAAAGGAAAATACTATTTCAAGGAGATCATATACAGTGATGTGATGGTAACATAAAGTTGGATAACAGAGAAGTAAAAGAAAAGTAAGAAGAAGATCACTGAATAAAATTAATTCTTTTAATCATTTACTTGTGAAGGAAGAAAACTAAGAGGACACTTCTGAAGTCACAGAATTTATTTTTATTAATATGGAATATTCTTAATTATGTTTCTATGGTGTGAAAAGAAAGAGACAGAAGACTTTAAAGAGGCAAAAAATAAAATCAAAAGACTTGTCATGAAAATAATATGTGAGCACACATGCCTGCACACACATACATATATGTAACTTCCTTCAAATTCAAATATGGTAGAAAGGACTTAGTTCAAAATAGAGAGTATTATCAAAGGTTATAAGGAACTATACCTAAAAGTAAATTTAAGACAAGCTAAGATCTTTAAAAATTTTATTGTAAAGGTGATATTCAGAAGGACTGCAGTTACACAAGTAAGGTAATGAGTACATTTCTGTTTGAACAGTGTTATCCCCTCCCTCATTGTCTCCCACTTTCTTTCCCCCATCCCTCCCAAGTGGTAAAGTTCATTTCCAACATAGTGTCTAGTGAGTATCACAGTTGCATTGGTTCACACTTTGTCCCTCTGTTTCTGTGATTCTCTTTCCTTTCTCCAAATCAGATAAACTTATATACAAGACAAAGGGTACAGCAATCAAAAACAGTGACAACAGGAAGTAAATCAAAGAGGAAAAAAAGGAAGAAAAGGAAGAAAAAGAAAGAAAAGGAAGATAAAGAAACAGAAAGAGAAAAGAAATAACTGCAAATAGTACAATGAAAATAATCTCTTGCTTCCATTTCTTGGAGTTCATTTTGATAAGCATCATTTTAAATAGTCATACTTGTATTGAGCCACTGTGATCTTCTGCTAAGAATATCCTAGACATATTCTAGTTATAACAAGTGAGGGAAACCATGCAGCCTGTGTTTCCGTGGGTCTGGCTTACTTTTCTTAATAAAATTTTTTTCCCACGTCTTTCCATTTCCTTACGAATGAGACATTGTCATTCTTTCTGATGGAAGCATAGAATTTCATTGTGTATATATACACATTTCTCCTAATACACACAAGCCAATCTCCAATATGTTGAGCATAGAGAAAAAATAAAACCACCACTATAGGAACCTGAAATTTGACACTACAGATAAAACATCACAGAAATGAAGTCTATCAAATTTTAAACCATTTGTCTATTTACAATCCAACCATGAGTTGTTTTGGGAAAACTGAATATCTACAAACAGGGGAATGGCCTAAATTGAACTGTAAGACTAGAAGAAAATAGTAAAATTGTTAGGACACATAAGGAAAAATCTTCATGACTTTGGCTGAACAATAATTTTATTGTTGTTTAGTATATGATCCTAAAAGCATAGGTAATAACGACAAATAGACAAATGGGATTTCATCAGACTAGAATGCTTCTTCATAACTAA